CGCTCGAGCGCCCGTCCTCGGACACCCAGAGCTCTCCTGCGATGTCCGGCAGAACCTTGGATCCTCTAGCGATGAGCGCGAGGTGTTCGGGTCCTCGGCCCGGCAGCTGACGGTAGAAATGGATGAAATCCCCCATCTGTTTTTTGGGGTGTGAGCAGGTGATGTTGATGCCACTGCCCTCGGTGGTCTCCAGTGACGACTCCTGCTGTACCTGGGATCGGCCTGAAGCCACTGCCGAAAAAAAGGACAAGCCTGAAATCCTACATTGTCCTACTACACAGTACAAAGCCTACAGAATCGGTCAGGAGCTTACAGAGATGATGAGGAAAAGTATTCTCAGAGGATGTGAAGATGTGCAGGAAAAAAAGCGCCCATTAATCGTTTGTGGAGAGATAAACGCCTGAATAAAAGGAGGATCAGCAGAGTCACTGGAGAACGGGAGGATGTGGGAGAAAGCACAGAAAGAAAAGCAACAAGTGGCCAGACTGACTTGGTGAGTTATAAAGAAGGAATGCTTGAGCAGGATTGGGCATAGAATAGAAACCGAAGATTTCTGCGGGAGCATGGGATGGAGAAGAAGAAGGGAGGAACGGGAGAATAGATCTCGGGAAAAGGTGTGGGAAGAAGCCGGGCAGGACGACAGCGTCGAGGGAGCTGCGGGATCCCCCCAGTCCCAGGCGCGGCCCCTCGGCCGCCAGCCCCGCGCACCGAGCAGCACCGCGGCCAGCGCGGCCAGCGCCGCGCCCCGACCCCGCCGCATGCCGCCGCTGCGCCGGCCGAGCCTCGCTGGCCCCTGAGCCCCGGCTCTGTGCTCCGGCCGTGCCGCCTCCTGTCGGCCGCCGCCAGCTCCGCCCCGGCCGGGCTCAGCCCCCGCCTCTCCGAGCCCCGGCCCAAGGAGCGACCCAGCAATTGGGGCACGGCCGGGCGCAAGAGGCGGCTGTGTCCCATGGCACAGCCCAGCGCCAGCGCACGGGAAGCAGATCCGCTCCGCCGCTGGCAGCACACGGGCGGCAGCATTGCCGAGCCTCTGTCCGTGCGCACAAGGCACAGCTCCTCCTTTTGCCCTGTGCAGCGCTGCTGCTGCGAGCGGCTGTGTCCCGCCTGGGGCCGAGGCCAGGGGGGCTGCGAGCCGTGCTGGGGCCCCGGCCGTGCTGTTCGTGCTGAGTTCAGCCGAGCGGCCGAGCTGCACTGAAAGCGTCCTTGTTGGGCCTGAGATCGGCATGAACCGAGCGTGAGCTTTGGAGGGGCAGCAAAGGGAGGGCTCAGCACGCAGGGGCTGCATTTCAGCACCTCTGCCCTGCACACGTGTGTAGCGGGCAGCTGCCGGCCCCACTCAGCTGCACTCGGGCTCCTTCTGAGCCTGGGACGCTGCTGCTCTGTGCAGAGCAGGGCCAGAGCAGAGCTCAGGGTCCCTGGCCCGGTCAGGAAATTCCCTCCCGATGAGGGACACACACCCGGACAGGCACAGCTCGCTGCTCACCACACTGGAGCCACACCCAAATCTGTGCTTCACGTGTGTCCCTGCAAACGGGGCTGCTGCAGGAGCACCCAAGGCAGGAACACACACCCAGCCCTGGGCTCTGCTGAGGCCATGTGGGGCCAAGAGCAGCAGGGCTGGAGTGTGCAACGACGAGGTCCCAGGCAAGCACGGGGGACATTTTTCTTTACTTCGAGACCGCACAAATGAAGAGATGAGTCAAAATAATCAGAAAAACTTTCTCAAATTAATATTAGGATGGACGTGGTGCAAAACCATCAGAGCATTGTACAGGCGTGGCGATTCAGCATCAGGTGAGCCCTGGGCTGAGCCCAGCGTCCCTTGCCCAGCCTCAGCCCTGCACAGACACCTCCCCTCCATCCCTCCGTCCCTCCCCTGGGTTGTTGCACAGCCGGGGACGCTCCCTGCACCGGGGTGTCTGTCACAGCACAGAGGTACAAGGCAGTGTCAGAGAGCTGCACTTCCTCCACCTTCAGGACACTGTATTTCCCCGTGGTGTTGAGGTGCGTGGTGATCCGGCCGCTGTGCTTGGGGCCAGAGCCTGCTTGATAGGAGAGCAGCTGTGGGGCTTGGCCTTTCCGCAGCTGGTACCAGAACAAGGCAGCATAACTACCACTAGTCTGGTATTTGCAGGTGGTTTGGAAAGGGTGTCCCTGCTTCACCATGACTTGTCCATCGTCCTGGGTGACCGTGATCTGCCCCGTTGTGCCTGCAAGAAAGTGAAGGTCAGCAGCTGCACAGGGTAGGAGTATGGGAAGCAAAACGAAGTATATGGAAATCCTGTTGAAGAAAGCTTCCTGCCCTGTAGTGAAGTCCTGCGAGATTTTGGGCAGGAGTTTGGAGCTCTTTGCTCTGCATCAGTCAAAGGTGAGCTGGGCTGTGTTTCTGCTCCTGCTCCTCCTGCTCCCAGGACCAGGGAAGTGCCTGTCATGCCTGAACTTTGTGTGCTGGAGGCAGCACCCCTCCAGCTGCCTGAGGAGCCCATGAAGTCACAGCAGAAAGGTTCATCCTGCTTCCCCATCCCTGTCACCTCTGGGGGCTCCTCAGTCCCTGAATACACACAATCGTGAGCTTGGAAAGAAGGAGCCCTGGTTGTGTGTCCAGCCCAGAGAGCACTGGAAGCCGTGGCAGAGCTGTGTGAGCCTGGAGGCAGAACGGGACACCCTGTTAATGTCAGTGAAATGAGAGTTGAAAAATGCCTGGGGCAGGTTTGACAGGACCTGGAAATTCACACCTAAACAGGAGCAATATGCAAGTGCAGAAGCAGCTGAGATGTCCTGAAGTGACTGCAGGAGGGCCAGAAGAAAATGGAAGAGGGGGATGGATAGAAGCGGAGAGAAAAGAGAGAAAAGGCATCTGAGGTTTCTCTCCTCTCTTTTCCTTTTCAAATCGAAGATGTTCTTTAGGAAACACTTGCAAAACCACAAAAAGGAGCTGACATTTCTCAGCCTTTTCCCTCTATTCAGTCGTGTTTCCCACATGGTCCTGATAAAGCTTTTGAGGAATTCCTGGTGGGAATAATAAAAGTAAGAATGATGCCTTCGGGAAGTGCATGACTTACCCAGGAGCTGTCCCAGGAAGAGGGGGAGGATGAGAGAGGCGAGGTGCATGGCGAGAGCAAGCTGCGTATTTGCTGAGTGAGGAAGAGTCAGAGAGCACGGCGCAGCCCCGAGATGTGAAGTGACGGTGGGAGGAGGCGGCAGGCGTGTGTGGCGAGTGTGTAAGCGCAGGGGGCAGGCGGCAGGCGTGTGTGGCGAGTGTGTAAGCGCAGGGGGCAGGCGGCAGGCGTGTGTGGCGAGTGTGTAAGCGCAGGGGGCAGGCGGCAGGCG